AGAGCTGGAAATCATCAAGAAATAACTCACGTCGGCTCGGCCCATCAGCCAACTGAACTTGTGACTCGGGAATACCGAAACATAACTGAATATTCATGTTTCGATGGTGACGGAACAGGATAACGTCCTATGAGAAGTTCGACCAGAGACAATCCAAAGGACCAGATATCCGACTGGATCGAGTAATGGGATCCAGTTAGTCGTTCCGGCTGGAATGTGATAATTTAGAGGCACGTAGCGCATTCGTGGACAGCGGAGTTCTAATGTGTATTCACAGGATACCAAGAGCGCCCTAACCTAGACCGCAAAAAGGTAATAAGTGAGCGCTATTTTCAGAGAAAAGGGAAACGAGCGATACGACAGATACAGCCCCATAGAAACATAATAGGGTCGTGCACGCAATGAACCGAAACGTCATTTTAGTGTCTACGGGTATAGAACTAGTGGCATATCTCAGCCGAGGAAGGATGCTACAGGCAGGGTTTTTTTTGGCCAACAATGGACGCCACACCCTTGTCACTCACTGTTGAGCCGTGAAGGTGGGACAACTTCTGAGATAACGAACTGGACTAGTTGGACAAAATAGGGGTCACAGGTGATATTAATAAAGAAAGAACAAGTATGCAGAGAAGAGATCCATCTGCTTTATTATGATAACTGTTTTTGATGCCGCAGTGCGCGCTCCAAAAGTTATCAAGAAATTGCTGAATTGTGGGCGAAAGTCTTGACTCCAGGTGGGATCCAAACCATAGCACACGCTTTCCGGACGAGTGCGCTACTGGTTACGCCACCAAGGCCGCTCTTAGCCTCACAGCGTGACGGCCTTTATGTCATTGCCTCACAATAATCACATGTTTAACATGGCGAGCCGGCCATCCGTAATCATCAAAAATAAGCCTATCATAATAAAAGACTTCAGAAACTTGTAAAGCCCTCAACTTCGCGGTTCATTTCCAATAGCTAACGATTACGACTGACCTGCTCACCAAGCTAAGCGTGTGAGCGCTAAGGCACAAAAGTCGTCAAACTAGAGGGTGAGAGCGGCCCCGGTGGCGTCGCGGATAGCGCACTCGTCCGGAAAAAAGGCGCAGATTCAGGTCCAGCCCAGGGCCATGACTTTTGCCGATGACTCAGCATTCTTGCAAAAGACTCCAGCGTTTACAAGATGAAAAGTGGAAAAAGCCGGTAAAAATATGCTCAAAGGTTTCAATATTTGAAATCGGCACGTACCGCCATGTACGACCTCGTTCCAACAAATGAATTCGCCATACTATCGATTAGCATTCCAGACACACCAAAGTCACAAAGCTTAATTTCACCATTGCTATTGACGAGCATATTCGATGGTTTGACGTCTAAAATACCTTCCTATTTTATAAAAATTATCGCGCTTCCATTAGAGTGAATTGCCTACGGAAAAATAACAAAAATGAAACAATTTATAGTTTAGTCATTTAGATGCGCGGAATTGAAAATCTGAAAAAAAGGATTTGCTCGAGGCCAAAAGTCAAGGGAAATGGAAAATATTTAATAATAAGTGGAAAATACTGAATAATAGTGACTATAAAGACCGCTCATCTATGTTCTTTCGATCTCAAGAAAAAAATGACTCATGAAATCGAGCCTCGAAATTTCGCAATCGCAACTTTATCCTCGCAAATCGAACCGCAACATAAGGATGAACACTCACTCTCACCTCTGTGAAGTATCTTTATTTCGTCCTTGAGATAAGCCAGACCCCGTACTACCGCCACGGAAATTTTGCCGACGAACTTTTCGGGAATTCGGCCAACCTGTACAACGATGTAAAAATGTTACTATGCAATAGTAATTAGGCCTTTTTTAAGAACAACCTTTTTCATAACAATGTCCAGTGAAAGTCCGTCCATATACTCCATGCAAATCGATATATCACTATTATTATTGTCAATGAAGGCTCCATAAAAACCAACAATATACGGGCTATTACACTTGTGAAGAACGGCGAGCTCTTAAACATGAACTATTTGCTGTGGAGTGATCGTTAACCTCACTTCACAGCGCAGAATGGAATACACTTTCTGGACAAAAGAGCCCCAAAAATAGCGCACCTCGAAGCGATTGGGGCGGAATTAAATGAAAAGGAGCCAAAGAAAAAAACTGGTATCGAGCGGAAAATATGGCGCTATTCGGGCTTTGTGAGCCGAGTAGGTACTTTTTGCTAGCTCGGCTAGTCCAAAAAAATCTGCACGCTTCACAGGAATTTACAGGTGTCGAAAGGAGGCATCGGCAGTGATTGATGGAAATCAGGAAAATACCCCCACAAAGCCGAACTGCGTCGAGAATTTGAAGGCGTCATTCAGGAAAACAAAGCAGCCTAGAGAGGGTGGTGGAAGTGAAGAGAGTCAGGCACTTTATCAGGGTATGGAAATGGTGGTGCTAGTGCAACCTCCACAGGAGGAGGTATGATCCCCTGTTGCAACCTACCGTAAGTCCTCCGCAAGATTCGTCCCTTACCCAGAATTTTTCCCTGAATATAGCTGCTGAAAGGAAGAGGGCGGCAGAGAACACATCATGCTTGAAAGGGGAAAACCAAGAGAAAGAAATTCTTAACTTTGACTACAATACGAATAGTACCCTTCCCCAGTAGCCGAATACCCTTCGATGATGTTCGCAGTACGCTGGATATGCGTCATGCGTAGATGAATAAAATTGCGGAATTCACTAAAATGAAAAAAAATTTGAAAGGGTAGGGGCACAGAGTCTGCAAAAAGACTGTATGTATCTGTGCAACCTTATCAGCACATACCCCAAACTCCAACGATAAAAAGGGCATCATTTACTTTTGAAAAAATGTGAACGTTCAGACCAGGAAAGATTAAGATCAAGAGGGGAAAAAACTGAGCTCTTGCAGAACTTTGGCGCTAAATGTATTACAGCGGGGCTGACGTTGTTTCAGCTTTCAGGGTTATACTCATGTTTGTTAGTTCGCCAAATGAATGAAACAATACTGAAGACCTGCTACCGTGTCATGGGATGATAGTGATTGAACATACCTTTCACGATTTGTTGTCGTACCGAAGGTTTCACTTCCAAATGTACTAATTTACGAGCCATCGTTACACCATTCTTCTTGTGAATGACCTGAAATGGTTATTTTTACTAAGTTACTGTATAGATTACTGATTGTTCAGCAACTGCCGGCGCACACAATCGTTATGTGAATCGCATACCCTGTGGTTTCATTGGAGATAGGAAGAAAGCTATCAGCCCGCTGGGAAGGAGGGTCTTATTGGCATCGAGAATTTTTTTTGATTGTTGATCCTCTCATTTTTGACGCACTATACCCTCCCCCCGTAGTCGACGACGAAACCAAAACTACAATTCCTAGTGGTAGTAAGAGGTGTTACCAGCTTGTCGCGTCGACAGCGGAAATTCTGGGTTGGAAAATAAGCCTGCTTAGAGTGTCTTGGTTTGCGAAAGTGGCTGTATTTGAGGCCCGTGATCCTCGTTTTTTGGAGGAGGGGAAAGGGAAGTTGTACTGATACCACCCTTTGACAAAAACCGATGATGTTCCTGGCTGCCGGGCCACTCTCAGGTTTTACTCGTTTGGGAGGTCAACACGTGACCAAAACCACGTTGTTGTTATGCATATCAGTGCACTGGTAATTCCTAATTGCAATTGGAAAACAACGCAAATAACTCTCAAAACACGAGAAAAAAAACAGATCAAAAAGAACCTTATGGACAACGCCTCCGTTGCCATGACCAAGTTCGCCTTCGTTTTCCAGCATGTCTTCGGATAGCTCTTGTTCCTTGAAAGAAGTGCTTGCAATAAAGTACCGACGACGAATAGACCAAAGCATGGAAGCAAGACAATTAGATTTAGGAAGGCTCTAACTACGCAAAACTTTATCGTACTAGTTGTTGTTCTTTGTTGTGAAAGGGCTTGAATGGGGTATCCTCCAACCTATTTCCCAACGTATTCGCGCTATGAATTGCGTCTGTGATTGGAACGGATAGCAGTCATCAATGACAAGGTACCCATACCCACAGAGGTCAGGGTACATCGTTGGAGATCTCCAGCGAGAAGTTCGTATTTGGCTGCTGAAGAGAAAGGGGCCCTTTGCTCTGAGTAAAGTGTTTTCGCTCATGACTTTTCTCGTTCATTTCTGGAAAAATTGAAGAATTCTTGAATAAAAACTCCAGAAAGGTGACTGGAGGTTGGAACATGTCAGAATGACGGGATAGGTATTTTGCGATTTTGGAAAAAAGGGGGGGGGAGGCGGGTTCGTACAGTACGGGCTAGTTTTGAACGGAGTTGTATATTGCAAAATTTTTCTCTGTACATCAGGAGGTGCACTGGACATGGTAGAGGCCGGGTTGGACACCATTTTATGCTACTTTGTGTGGAAGTTGATTGGATAGAAGATGAGGAGGAGGAGCTTTATATCTACCGTTCACCAATAATTACCCACATAGAAGAACAGCACCACGGTAACACTTTTCTACAGGATGTGTTCGGCAACGAAGACGTATATAACGGAGAAATGGAATGCAACGCTTTTGCACTATAACGGGAAGCACAACATAAGTTTTAGTTTTGAGTAAAAACCTTTATGGCCTCTTTCACTTGTATCCATTCACTCATTCGTTGCTTCTGCGGTTCCGTAAGACCTAATCGTTTCAACTGTTCATCGAGACTAACTTGCGCGGGCAGTTTTCTATTCCTAAATAAATGGCAGTCACTCATTACAAAGAATGTATGGCTGGTAGAACTAAGATCCTTGAAATTTTTACTTAGAAAATCATTTTAAAACGGATAGTTTTAGAGCTGTGAGCCCCAAAGAGCTTCTGTTTCCCAAACAGGGACCTCCTCTTGCAGGCAGATAGGCCTCAAGAGGTCCCATGAAGCTCTGATCTTGATAGGCCATGGACAGTGGAGTCATTTGCCCCACTATTTCGTTAAAAGCTATCTCTGAGCATGGGTCAAAAGTGGATCACAAGCGGACCTTTAGAGAAATAATTAGTGAGTTGGAGGGAGCAGTTCGGTAACGCGGGGATTTTGCACTTGCGCTGCTTCACTAGTTCCGGTCTACCAGTTTCACGTGTGACCTCTTGTGAAGCTGGAGCAGGCTCGTCGAGCCACCATGGTAAATGGTATTTGTGTGGCATATAATTACTTTACAATAGTTGAAAGGCGATTTCTACAAACTTTGGCTTGTATCGTTTCGTGGCTTCAAATATTTCACACGTCTTCACTTGATAGCTCGACACGTCGATGGGAAGTAGCAAAAGTGCACCCCCACCCCCCTCGGTTTGAATGCACTTAGCGCATTGCAATGAAATGTTGAACTTACAGGAATGCCCGCTTCGTTTGGACGAAATCAAGAATTACTGCATCGAATAGCTGACTTACTCCGTACTCCTACGATTAGGAAAGTATCGGATCCATATGACCGAACAGGAGCTAGCAAGGGCACTTGATTTGAGGAAATTAAGGTACACCTCATCAAATTGTGCAGAGGCCAACTAGGTGAATTCCAAGTTTCCATGATTTTTTCTGCATTTCCCCAATAATTTGTTTCTCTTGCTTTTTTATTCTACCATTAGGAAACTTGATGATTATTCCACAGATGAAAGCATTCTCACCACTTGACC